CATCCTCGATCGATTAACTAGTGGAAAATCTCCGCTCGCCCTACACGTTTCGTATCTGCTCGTTCTGTGTGCCCAAGAACTGTTTACTCCCGCTGACATTCCCACATGCGCTGCAGAGACGCGGTGGATATTTCACAGACGTCAGGGCTCGACAGTGCGGGCACTTCAGTCGCATTTGCAACGAAGAATAGATGTGTGCGAACTGTAAAATGTGTGTGCAAAATCCCTCCAGGTGAGTTTTCTTAAATTTAATGTAATAAAAAAAGTCTTCAATACATGAAATGGTAAAACAAATGTCTTAATGATCATTTTAAGACGTCTTATATTTTGAGGATGGAAAAACATAAATCGCAATACAGCCTATTGATTATTAAACTTCAAAAGGCTATGATTTTATATATATAAAAAAATAGCGCTGCACGTTGCAGTGTCACAAGGCTACACGTTCTACAGGCTCGTGCAACTGCCCTTCAGACTGCTTCAGAGTGATTCTCAATCAATGAATAGCGCACATTTATGCCAAGCGATTGATTATGAACTCGAGTTGATGAATTATGACAACGTCTATTTTATGACCTTTATATAATATGTTAATGTAAAGTTGTAAGAATGCATATTTTATCTCTCATCTGAAGGATCAGCCCACAATAGTATAGACATTTCAAAATAACAGTCCCGGTGTATTTCGGGCTTGTTTATAATTAAAAGTCACACGTTAAGTTTATTTTATTTTATTTTTTTCTGGGCATTACTGGTATTTCGGTTAGACAATAAATTGTATTTAATTTAATTTCCATTTAATTCACAGTAAACTATTGTAGTTTCTGGCTGGGATCCTTCCCCACAGGAAGAAAATCCAAAGAACATTATTTGACACATATTATTCAACATATAGATTTTACCAGTATCAGTAAAATCTGGTTCCCATTCACTGAGAGAGACACTATATGACAAAGCAAGGAGAACTGTCTTTACCATTTAAATGCTGTAATTTTGCATAATTTACTATGCATAATAATGCATAATAGGATTATTTAATTAAATGTAATAGTAGCCTATGTAATTAAAATTCATTTCAATAAATAAAAATATAGTTAAAAAAATCACACATTATTTGTTATTTGTCACATGTAGTAGACCATTTTATGTGCCGTGGGTAATAGGAGGATTTTCCACCCGGCTACAACCTGTGGGAAGCACTGTTTTGACTGTACTGATTTTGTTTGCAGTCAAGACCCGACATGACCAAGCAATGTCCACTCACACCTGGGTAAAAGCACACTTATTACTCTAACACACTTCCATACTTCCTGATGGGTTCAGATTCCAACCCAGCGCTTACATAACTCTGTGACAACATGATGAATTACTGAAGAGAGGGGAGGCACTCAAGGCCACGAAAGCAACCTGTCTGCCAGCCGGCCAGCAGCCCACGCCACATATTTGCTCTAACCTACAGCTGGGAAAACAAATGACCATTATGCCCCATGTAACTTGTATCTAAAAACCCAAACATTTCCTCTGAACTTTTTCCTTTCAGCCTCAGTGTTTTATGTTCACAACCAAAAGAAAATGTGAAAGGGATGTGTTCTAACACATCTTCCAGTCTATATGTATCTTAAGGAGGTTGTGTTTGAGATTAAAAACTCTGCACTACAGTGTTATTAAGACCATTAAGACCCATAATTCAGATAATCACATGGATGACAGTCATAAAAAATGTGCTTCTGAATGCGCAATTCACTTCTGGCTACTAACAATACAAGCATGAGCCAATGGCTTGGTCACCTGACATAGAATGTAACTCCCTCACTAATAGAGTCGGGGAAATATGACGTCAGAAACCGGAAGTGAAATTCGCCACAGTTTCCTTCGAGATTTTCCTATGTGGTTTTATAATGGGGTTTTTCAATTTATGAGTAAAATAAAGCCTGTGGTAAACATAACTTGATGATACTTTTACTTTTTGTTCTACAATGTAAACTGCACACACTCACAGCCCAAACATTCTTATCTAGTTACTTATTAAAAACATACGTTTTCAAAAATTAACATAACTGCTTCAAAATTTGTGTTTTGGGTAGGGATGTGTGTAATTCACGTTGCAGAACAAAACCCCAAAGCATTGTAAAATTTATGTTATGTTTACCACAGGCTTTATTTTACTCATAAATTGAAAAACCCCATTATAAAACC